AAGGCCTTTCCTGCGTATTTATGAGTTGAGATGTGCACACCCCGCTTCTGTCAGTGTGAGGAATGGAAGGGAAGTGTTCTCAGAATAAATAAATAGCACACTCAGCCTCAAACATTTATCATGTGAAGTGAGGGTACTCAGCCCTAGTTACTGGGCACAGAACATACTATCTCACTACTACAGCATTGCTCCTTCCATTATTATTCGCATCCTCTATGGCATCAATAATAACATAATTGAAATGCTAGAATAGTAAGTAGTATATGCAATGTTTGCTTCTAGCAGAATGGGAAAATAGCAGGCCCGTTACTGCCTAATGGTACCCCACAACAGTGAATGGCTCCTGGGAAGCATACTATGCCTTGGTATATGGTGATGCTGCTATTATACCATCACTGTGCTATTCATTATATTACTACATCCCTATTACTTACACAGAGAAGATAAACATGTGAACACCGCAATGAGTTGTGAAAGCAAAGCGCTCGTTTACCTTGATCTGAGCCATTGAAGGAAGAAATAAATAAGGATGGAAGTGAGATAGAGAAGAAGAAAGTGGCAGAGAGGGAGGGAGAGAGATGAAGGGGGGTGAGAGAGGAGAGCAGAAGGAAGCATACCCAGATAAAACCAATCTCCTCTGCACTATGACGGTTTGATTATTTTATTATAGCCGGACCTGCTGCTTTGTATACATTCTGCCATCAAGTGAAATACTTCGAGCATTCCAAGGCATGAAGTCTCTATTTTTACTCCTTTTGATGTCTACTGCTGTAGCTACAATCGTGCTGAGAGAGTTACTTTGTTTCGGGTGTACAGTAACAATCTCATCATTTAAAGACAGAGCTCTGTTGGGTGCGTTCTTTATAAGTTGGACCCAGATGCGTTGAAGGTGAAAGAGACTATTTCCAGGGTGATGTGAGCAGGCTGGTTGAGCGCAGGGCTCGGCAGTGAACGGGTTAATAATGGCCAGGGCATGGAGCCTGTGTCAGGAAGGCAGGCGGTTGGCAGAGGTCTCTGGAAGGATGAGCCCTATAGAAGACATGTGAGTGTGAGTGAAGAATAGGTTGAGTAGATGTGAGATAGTGAGTGTAGGGTGCACATTAGGAGCTGGTTGGGCAGTGTCTAAACACTTGCAGTGCTCCCACTCTCTCCCTCCCCTCCCCATCATTACACTGTGTGCAATAGAACAGCTTGTATTTCTCTCTCTATTCAGCGCACACTGCCCTCCAGAGAGAGATAGAGAGAAAGGAGACACACACACACACACACACACACACATACAGGAAAGGAATACAGGGCAGAAAGACACACTATAGACCTAGCAGAGCTCGGACATCACACAGCTGCCCTTCCTGTAACCCTAAAGTGTCCCCATCAGTGGCTGGAAGAAGATTCTCCTCCATGGCAATGATAAGGGCTGCTGGAATTATCTCCCTGTCTCTGACAATCTGAGTGTTCGCAGGGAAAAGGATCCGCTGTGTCTGGGAATGAAATCCCATCTTCTCCTGCAGACACAAGGCAAATCTACCACGGGATGAGGAACACGCTGATTTTCCCATCTGATCACATTTGAAAAGCTTCATCGATTTTGCTGGAGAAGGAGAGGAGGATTGTGCATGTGCCCCAGGCTGCACCGTCATTTTTGGGAGGAAGCCGAAGACTGAGAAGATCATCTTCTGCAAATAGCAAGCGAAGGCCTTTCCACCGACAAAGGAGAGCAATTCGCTTCCAGGTAGAGTGCTGACAAAAGCTGGGGTGCAAGGAGCCCCTACAATTCCCTGGCTGCTGGGGCAGCCTCAGGGCTCCATTCTTGGGGCACTATTATTATTATTCTTAGCAGGAGACTGGCACACTTTTATTTGTCTGTATTTCTGCACCAGGCCTGCCTCTGAGTTCTTCCCACTACCAAAGATTTTCTGTAGTAAGCATGGCTTTAATAGAAAGAGTAGACTACGGTGTTCACGGTGACTTCCAGGTACTTATCTTAATTTACTGACCTGTATATTCGGGTATAGTGTAGGGAAAGGACCAGGCAGGAAAATAAATGTAAACAACATATTTTATAGTGCAGAAAAAAGGTAAATATTTTGGGAGAAGAATGTAAGCCCCTTTAACGTGCCTCTTACATTATTCCCTTATTCAGAAAGAACAACAAAAGCTTTTTAAAAATGGATTTGGGTGCAGCATGATGCACAATCATACTTGATACAATCAAGCTTCTGCCTGTTTATATTGATTCTTAAACTTGAAACAGTTTCTGAGCATGTCCTCTGGTCCTGTGTGTATATATACTGTATATATCTTTATAAACAGAAAAAAAAAATGTTTGCATGTATATCTACGCTTATGTTTTGTCTACATACATAATGCTTTTTGTATAAAGTCAGTTATACACAACATTATACATTACATTTATGCATTATATACAACACTGTGTAAAGTCAATTATATACAACAACAAATTTCCAATTATACACGCAACGTTGTGTAAAGTCAGTTATACACAACAACATAATTATACATTATACATACAAGATTGTGTAAATTCAGTTATACTTAACAACATTGTAGATTTATACATTATACATACAACATTGTGTAAAGTCAGTTATACACAACAACATTATAGATACAACATTGTGTAAAGTCAGTTATACACAACAACATTGTACATTTATACATTATACATACAACATTGTGTAAAGTCAGTTTTATACAACAACATTATATAACTATACATACAACATTGTGTAGTCAGTTATACTACAACATTATACATGATACATACAACATTGTATAAAGTCAGTTATATACAACAACATTATACATGATACATACAACATTGTATAAAGTCAGTTATACACAACAACATTATACATACAACATTGTGTAGTCAGCTATAGACAACAACATTATCCATTATCCATACAACATTAATATGTATTCTATATTTTTATGGAATTG